CAGATCTATCCTGTAAAGGTACAAGATCCCAGTCATAAATGTAACCGTACTGTATACTTAAAAAGTACCAATAAACTCCCTGAAAAAAATGCATTTGCAACTTTTCTAAGGTAAAGTATCTTCTAGCATTCAATAGCCAATTGTCAAGTTAAGTGAAAATGCAGCACACTACAATAAAATTATTCACTTATTAATCGGACAGTGGAGGTCTTAAATGTTAACTCCTCTTAGCATCATTGTAGATGCATCAAAAACATTGACGTATAGGGAATGTTTTTATATATTTACTTCTTGAATACATAAATAACTGTTAATGTCACAGATTAAAATCCTCCACCAACATTTTTCTCTACTTTTGCACTTTAATTAAAAATTTACTCCTCTTTATCTACCTCTTTCATAATCTCACTCCTCTCCTATGTCTCAGGAAGTGTTAGCTATCATTTTTATTTAAATGCTCATATTTTTATCATTTTTAAAGAAGTATGGTCTTTAGAAATATGTTCTTGATTTTTAAAAATATTTTCTAAATTATTGAATTTCAATTTTATTAGCAATTCTCCTCTAAACCTTCCACTGGTGTGATTATTTACCAGCTGAAGATATTGACCATAAAAATGCTATTTCATGAAGATTAAGAATAAAATTAACATTATCATTGCTTGCTTGTGATACACTGCAAACAGAAGAAGAATTAAATCGTCACAGCACAGGGCATTGGTAAAATGTTTTTTAAAAAAATATTGAAAAGTGAACCTCTAGAAATGGTCAAGTTAGTTATGTTTAAGTTTGTTCTTATTTACTTTCATGTATACAGCTTCTCTGATCCTTTAAGGCCAGTCTAAATATTTGAAAGAGGAAGAGAAAACGTCTCTTTAGTTTTAGGTCCTGCACAAAAAGAACCTTTAATCTCGTCTTTAAAAGATGATTTTGGGGGACCTATTTTCTGAGAAAATCAAAACTGAATCCCAAAAGGAAGCTAAATCACAAATCTATGTATCTAACTAAATGATCTTGCAGGAAAAGCTCTGTATTTGCTCTAAAATAGCTATAACTAATTTTTGTTGATTTTCAAAATTTTCTCCTCTCATACATTTGGTTTGGTCAAGTTGATAAAAGTTGTCTACGGCAAATAAATTACTATGATCAAGCAGTACTCACCACAGTAAGTTCATAAAGAAACTTCCTTGTATTTTTATCAGCATGGCAATCTTCCTTTAACTTCTTTACAACATAAGAAACCCTTTCCGATTCTTTGTTCACTTGTATTTGATCGAAATCTTCCAGTGCCAGATGTGAGTAACCCAGGACATCAGCTAAAACTTTCCAGTTAAACACTTTTTCTGATACCAAGGTCAATACAACTGAGTATATATAAGTCAGTTTTTTAAAGGGCAGGGCAATTTGTTCAAGAAGATTTCTGGTTGTAAAGATATTGTCAGACCTGGACATTAATTGTTCTTTTGAAATTACCTTGATATTTTTGCAATGCACAAGTCCAATTTTACCTCTGAGGACTCCTATATACCATTCTTTCACTTTGGACTGCCCAATGGCTTTTACCTTACCTTCTCCAAGAAGAGCTATTGTGTCCCCTTTGAAATAGTCAAGTAAGTAGTCAACCTTGATTTGTCTTAGCACTGTCTTCAAGGTCACCCCGTAGTTGCTAAAGTTCAATTTTTTATCTTGGAACGTGGGATACTTAACAGGAAGGGTTGGCAATAAAGGAGCAGATTTGACTTCTTTCTCTTTCTTCAAATAATCTGGCAGATTTGAGAGCCTTTTCAAGTTTGGAGCTGGATCAGGTGAAGTGATAAAGAACTGTGCAACTGGTCTCCTTTCAGGAGTATCCACCTGAACACGGAAAACAAACAAGTGCATTTCTCTGTGGTCAACCAAAGAAAATAAAAATTGTTGATAAACTACTTCACCTGCTTCCAACTGATTTTGTTTAATTTCTTTCCCTTTTCCTTCTACCTTTACTTTAAAATCTGGATCACATGAAAAAACCGAAATACTTAAATCTTGTGGCTTGTTGAGTAAAAATGAACGCTTTCCCCAGAGCTGAAATACAATGGGAGATGTGTTTTTTCCACCCTTTTTAATATCAGAGACTGTAAGTTTTCCTGGCATGTAGCTGTGTCCACAGACAGTGAAAACAGCAGTGAAACTGGGATGGATATATTTGGGTCCATAAATTCCAACTGAGAGAGTTTTGTGGATATAATCCCAAATGGTGGCAGCTGGTGACTGGATAGCTTTAGCTTGTGCAGCAATCACTAGATACATAACCCGACTGAAGTCCATTAGCTTGACTTGGATGGTATCGTTATAATTATAGCAGGTGTTTAACACTCTGAAAGGGCCTTCTTTTTCCAGGCTGTATAAACACACCATTTTCGTCATGACTTGGCTGAAAGGATCCTTTCTCACTTCAGCCCCGATTTTCATCTCCAGCAAAATAGCTTCCATTGTGTTAAGGTTACTTAATGTGATTTCCAAAAGAGGGCTTACAGTGCTCGAAAGATCGTGATTGAGTATTTTTGGAGGATCCAGAAAAGCCCTTAGTGAGACCTCTTGGAATTCTCCCACAGCTACATGACCTTGGGGAATATGAACAGTGATATCCGATTCAGGTAACTGTACAGATCCTCCTTGGTGATTTAATTTGCAAACTATGACGGTGTTTGCAACTTGTGTCTGGGCCCATCCAGGGCTCTGATTAACTGTATTCAAATCCAAGCAGGAGCGGGCCAGCTGGCGTTGACTTAACCAAGCCATTCTATAAGCTTCTCGGTCATTTTGAAGCCATTCTAAGTCTTCCACTAGGATCTGGTCAGAGTTGTGAATACTGTCATGAGTATAGGCAGCATCATCTAAAATGTTCAGAAGTTCTGAAACACTTTTGGATCTTCCTGATTTCTTTGAGGAGGAATGCCTGAGCAACTTGTGCACATCAAGTTCATCACCAGAGGAATCGAAAGAATTTCCAGTTTCTATTTCTCTTAAAAAAAGAAAAGGATCTTCCTTCAAGATGGAAACATTCTCTCTCTTCTGGTTATTCCGTAGCTGAGTTATATCATCCAAAAAGGGATTAGAAGCAGACAGTTCATTCCAGAACGGATTCCTACTTTTGGAAGCATTATTACCATGAAGAGTGGAAGCATCTGACCAATTGTGAAGAAAACTTGCTTGTGGGCCTGCTTGATGGGTAAACAAAAATAAAGCAAAACAAAAATGAGGTGACAATCTATGAAACAACCAATTTTTCCCCAAAATGCTAAAATGCTAAAAATGTGAGACTTACTTTGCATTTATTTCTCTTTATGATCTAATTACTACAAACTTAATGTTATATTTGGTCAATTTCACATGTAATGAAGAAAGGGAAATTTTCTATCAGGTTATTTTGACTGTAGATAAATTTATCATAACATGGTGATTTATAAACTAAACAAATGAATGTTAAACACTTTAGACAATAACATATTTAAACATTTCCTTGAAAATGACCTATGCACTGATGTCTTATTATTTAATATTTTATTTCCCCCAAAGCAAACCTCTGAATACTTGAATAATTTAGACTTTTCTAAACAAAATAGTTTCATTATATCAAGAATATCAATTTCATGTTTTTCTTTTCAGGTAATACTCAATACATGACAAATAGTGAATACATCTACTGAGAACCAATACACTAAATTAGCCAGTCATCACTGATTTCTTAGAATATTTTTGGTAACTCAGTATTGATAAATTTTAATTGAATTGTTTGTATGAAAAATAACATTGAAATAATAGACTACTACTGGAGCTCCTGCTTAAATAAATTCTTTGAGCCTTTTTAGGCTTGCAAGGGCAAAAATGGTCTTAACCTCTAGAAATGGAAACATGTAAATATTTTGCAAAGTGAGTGTTTTAAGAATTAGAGGCATATTAAGTTATTAATGTGTCTCCTATAAGAATTTCTATATATTCCGCAGCATTGGAGCCATATTTTTATGTTTAGACTGACTCATATTTGGCCATTTCTCAGAAAATATTAGTAATAAGTCTGAGTGCTTCTTGAAACTGGTACTTTAGAGAAAATGGGCAAATTCCTGAAGTTCTATAGAAAAGATGAATCAAGAAAACTGTCATAGTTTTAGTATTGGTAGAGTTGCTATCTTGATTTAAACTAGTTTAAGTGCCATCTATTAAATGTTAGAAAATGCACTTTGAAAAAATAAAGATAGTATTTCCCTTATTTCCACCCTTGTCTTCAGTCTGGTTATGCTAACTCTCTTGAAACTTTCTTTTTGCTCTGAGGATCTGTTCGACTGTTTTCTGTGCTACAAATACTTCTCAGGCTGACCCACAGCCAAGATATCTCTTTTAGGTGTCCTTTATTCATATTTGCTGTGTCTATCACTCATTTATTAATTGAATTTTGTCTCTTTATTATATTTATTGTAAAGTTAGTGTGGTTTTTCTGTAGATGTCTTCAGTGACACTGCAACTATTTCTATAAAAGTGAGATTTTAAACTTTTAATTTCCAATAAATGATTTGAAAGATAGACTTTCAGTACATAGTGGTGATGGATTTGATTTACTTACATGGAAAAATTACAATAGTTACAAATTCATGTACCTGTAATATTGCATTTTTTGGAGAGTTCTGGAGCTTCCATGTCAACCAAACTTCCTTTAGATCTAGTTCATCTAATTCTTCCTGATAAAATTGGTCTTTCTCACTGCTTAGCACCTATAAATTCCCACCTATAAAGTAAACAGATACACATTTTTCATAAGCTTACAGACTCATAAAGAAGAGATAAAAACTCAAAATAACCACACATACTTTGAAAGAAAGTTGCATGTAAAAATACTCCATACGATTCTGGTATGTCTGGTAGGGTCCTGAACTAGATATCTGAAATAAATATTAGGTTTCTATTGAAAAATGCTCAGATTCTGGATCGATATCATCAAGTAAACTTAAAAATTCATTACTGTCCCTATAAAAATAATTAATGAAAATCCCAAGAACAAAAGAGGTAAGTTGAAACATTTCTAAATGGATATTTTCTGTTTGATGATTGCAAGACTAAATATCACAAATCTGAAAATTCTTATCCAAATGCTTCTATAAATGAAATGCAAATCTGAGAAAAACTATATAATACATGATGTAATACGTGTTTGTAACTGCTTGTTTTTTATGTAAAAATTGTATTTTCAAATGACAACTCAAAATTGTATATATTTACTATATACAGCATTTTGTTTTGAAGCATTTTATCTTGTTTATAAATGCTTAAGTTTTTTACATTTTTACAAAATTAAGTTTATTGGTACATTTTAGGTATACAATACAGTTATATTCATCATTGCGGTCTTGTACTTTTACATGACTTATCTTGGTTCTTATATTTTCCCCATTCCCCTGCCTTCTCTTCACCCCCTCAACCCTTCCCTGTTTACAAAGACATCGTTTCCATGTTTTTTCCTTTTCTCTTATTTTTTCTTTCCCCTTTTTAGCTTTCCCCTGCCCCTCTCACTTCCTCTACACTTTTAGACCTTTTCTTCCTATTACACAATATCAATTATACATTTTTGATCCTTATTTACACTTTCAGTTTTTCACACCAGAAAAACTATTCAGTAGTTACATGTGTGCCTTATTAATTTCATTTAAGAAAAAAGAAAAGAAAAAATTTCACTTATGATTATGGCTTCAAAGTGCATCCACTTAGCTATAAATATCTCTAGTTTCTCATTCTCTATGGCTGAGTAGTATTCCATTTTATTTTTAAAAACAACATCTTCTTTATCCAGTCTCCAGTTGATGGGTAATTGAGCTGTTTCCAAGTTTTAGCTACTACAACCATGCTGCTATAAACATGGGTGAGAATATATCACTGTGGTGTGTTCTTTTAATTCTTTTGGAAAGATATCCAGCAGACAAATAGTTGTTCAAATGGGACTTCTAATCCGAGTTGTTTGAGGTATCTCCATATTGACTTCCATAGTCATTGAACCAGTATGCACAATAATTTAGGGGCAAAAAAATGACAGAAGTAATATGTACTACCTGACAGATATCAGAGTTAATTATAAATATTTAATAAGTAAGATATTGTGGAGTTTCAACAGAAATAGACCAAGGGGTGCAAAACTGAGATCTCAGAAACAGACGCTCATGTGGAAAGTCCATATCTGACGGGCAGTGCAGGGCAGTGTGGAAGTGGTGAGCTCTTCCTTAAACAGTGATGGAACTGCTGTTTCCACCAGTGGAAGAAAACTGCACACATGTGCATGCACACACACACACACACACACACACTCACTCACTCACACAGAAAAAAAAATCCAAGATGCTTAAAGACCTAGGAAAAGATAAACCTTAAAATTTGCAAAGGCCTCTTATAGTTTTTACTGAATTGTACTATGTGTTTGTTTACTCTATAACTTAGTAATTCCACTTCTGAGTTCGTGCCATAGAAGATCGATATAATACGGTTGGAGGAAGTAGATGATATTCATCAATTGTCATTTATGAAAGGGGGGCAATGAGATCGAACTAAGTGCTTATAGATGGAAAATCGGTTAATGTGATCAGTACCTAGCATGTATAGTAGTATTATTGAATCATTCACTGTATTCCTTATAAGATCCTCTTCACTGGGCCCTCCCTATGAGAAGTTCCACCTAATTCTTGTTATACTTGGAACTGTGACTTAACTTGGCCATTGCAGTATGAGTGGAAATGAGATGCACCCTTTCTAAGCAGAAGCTTCAAGAAATGCAGCATAGTTCTTCTGCACAGCTTTCCTTCTGCCCCATGAATGGCTATATATCCTACACAGGAACCCTACCTTAAGCTTAGACCCTAGGGCGAAGTGGAGATACAACAAAGATACAGATTATATGCAACACAACTGAGAATTAAACTTGGTTTTAGAAGTTACTAGAAACTAGGTGATGTGTGTTATTGTAGTTCAACTTCATATTTTAATGTGATGTGTGTTATTGTAGTTAAACTTCACAAAAGCTGGTGGATACTCTGTGGAATATTATGTTATAGTTAGATGAAACTAAAAAATATACCCAAAACAACAAGTTTTGATCTTTACCAGCTAATGAAGAGTGGAAACAGGAAGTAAAACGTGAGATGCCTAATGCAATATTAATTAAGTAAATTAAAAACATAGAAAATTTTTTGAAAAGGCCTGCTAAGAGTGCTTTCTGAAAAGCAGTGTTTCTTAAGCAAGGCAGACACACAAAATGCATAGCACAAAATATTAAAATGAGAAATCAATCCTATATATCAAAAACATCATTTACAAAAACTAAAAACACAAGCCAAATATTGAGAGAACTTATTTCCAATGCATATGACTAAGAAAGGAAAACAATTGAATTTCAAAATATATCAGATTCCTGTAAATCCATAAATAAAAACAGCACTATAGAAACTTTTGAAACAGGATATAGACAAGCATCTTCCCAAGAGGGAAACACAAATGAACCCTCAGTACATTTAAATATGATCAATCTCACTGGTAATTAGGCAAATGCGAAATGAAAACACATGAAGCACAATTACCACTTACTGAATTTGAAAAAACTAACAGTCCAATTACAAATAAAAATGTGCAGCAAAGGAAATCCAATGCACCCTTAGTGAAAGTATTAAAAGGTCCAATCATTTGGAAATCAGTCTGGCATTATCAAGAAAAGATGCTTACAGAGTAGTACTCAGAAAATTTAATTCCAGTTAATTGATTTAGTAAAACCTTGCCTATGTGTATCAAAAGAGATGGATACATGAATGTTCACTGTATTACATTAATAACAACTCAAATCAATCAAAATATACCTTACCATATGAAAAGATAGAAAAACTGTGGTATTTTAATACAACAGTGTACTATTCAACTATGAAACAGCTGACATACAACTAAAAATAATGTGAAATAGGAAGAAAAGGGCTAAAGGTGTAGGGAAAATGGGAAGGGTAGGGGAAAGATAATAAGGGAAAAGAAAATAATATGAGAAAATAAAAAATCGAAATGAAGTGTTTGTAAATGGGGAGGGAAGGAGGGGGTGAAGGGAGGGCAGGGACAAGGGGAAAAAATGAGAACCAAGACCTGTCATGTAAAGGTACAAGATCTCAATGGTGAATGTAACTGCACTGTATACCTAAAATGTACCAAAAAACTCAAAGAGAAAAATAAATAAGTAAATAGAAATAAGAACACGTGCTAGACATGTTTTACATTTGCTGAGACTCAACCTTATTTTCATAAATGATTTCTCTGAGCCCCATGACAATGTTGAAAAAATAGATATTTAAAATCTGATTTCCAGCATGAAAAATAAATCTCAGAAATTAGATATAACTAAACCATGAAGGCCAAAGAGTGATTTACCCAAAGAAGTTCAATTTTTCTTTTTAAGAAAAATCAAAGGCCTTTGCTGATACTTAAAAAGGAGAGAAAGAATATGTTTATTAAAAAAAGAAAATAAAGAGGGGAGGAAAGAAAATTTGAGTGGGAAAAGAGGCAAAAAGTGACAATGAAAGACAGAATGCAAGGGGGAGTGTGTTTTCAGGTATGAGGAGGAAACAAGTGCAAAAATTATAAGGTAATATAAAAACTCAAATGGTCAGTAACAATTTTTTTCCTCTCACAGGGGAAACTACATCAGAAGATTGAGTGAAAAGTTGAATTATGCAATATGCAAATGTACTGAGACCTAAGTTTCCTGGCATCTCTTTAAAACTTCTGTGGTTGATTCTTACCCAATGCAGTGCTCAAAATTAGAAGTCCTGAGCACACTGTAGGTAGTCAAAATTTTGAGGTAGGAAAACTGAGCTCCAGTCCTTCAGCGAAACTTAGCAAATCAAATTAAAGTGAATAAAACATATTAAAATGGAAAAGTGTTTTCAAAAGGTAAAGCACCATTTAAATGGAAAACCAGTTTAGCAATCTACACAGATTCTTTCAAATCTGTGTGAAAAGAGCAACAGTGAACAATTTATGCCCAGGATTCCCTTGGAGCAAATAGCCCAGTATGTAAAACATGTTGTAATCCAGCGAAACAAAGTTAAAATTTCTCAACCATGGGAAACCCAGGAAAGGTACTCAACACATTTCAGAAACAAAGGCACTAGATGAAATTCTTTGTGGAATTGTCCTTTTCTCCTGTCACCCAAGCACATCTTCGTTGTCCAATAAGGGAGTGCTTTAAACCTGTACCAGAACCACTTGGAGGGGTTAATTAGGGTCTGGGGAGTCACTTCAACTTGTATTTCTAACAAAGTTGCCAAGATACTGATGCTATGGTCATGTGTTGAGAAGCACATTCTACAAACTGTTGTTATAAATTCCCAGGTTGTTCCCACTTATACCCCAATAACCCTCACTATCTTTCTGTACATTCACATGGACAGAACACATTACCATACACCCTGAATCTGAATTGCCTGACTGACTGGTGATTGATTTTGTGTGAACCGGGAGAGGCAGTAAAAGAAGAAAATTTAACTGGAAGGACAAAGGATGAGAACGCTGACCTGTAGGGGGCAGTGTTTGTTTACACAGGTGCAAAGAGCACGAGCCTCAGGTCACCCTGGGTTTCCTTTCAGTTACACTCAATGCCAGTTGTGTCCAAAACAAGATTTCCAAAAAAACTTTGCCTAGAGAAGCATGAGTCAGTCTTTATATTTGGAATGAGTAAAAAGAAAAAGCAGTCTGCTATCCATTTAATTTGGGACAATCTTTTCAATATAACTTTTACTTACTCTGATTTTGTGTGATTGATTATTTTCTTCTTCAGATAAACTTTCATTTATCTTACTGTTTATGCCTTGTGCAACTGGGGGAAATTTACCAGTTAAAAAAACTTTTAAAAGTTCTCAGAAGGTCTTTTCATGTGGGGAAAAGGAGTGAAAAGGGTTGTGGTGTTTGGAAAGAAAAACCAGGGAAACAATGCCATTTAAAATAATTTTTGGAAAATGTGCCTCCATCAAAGTGTTTACACTAGTTTTTATGTAATGAAACTTGCTATTATTAGCCATTAGTCAGCTCAGTGTATTTTCCAACTAGTCCTTTAGTACCTCAGACCTCTGCACTGTTTATGAATTTATACTGTACTTAACTCTTTCCATGATCTGTACTGTATTTAGTTTTTGACCTATGTGATATTATAATATATTCATGGTGGTTGTAACTTTTGTAGGTGACAGCAAATACTAAAGTGGTCAGAAGAGAAATTTTTGGACAAGTAATAGACTTTTGCTTTATCTGCAAATGCCATGTCCATCTAAATAATATTACAATGCTTTATAAATGTAACTAGTATAGAATGCCTGAATAATTCATAAAGGAATCACAATAAGCGGTGATACTCATAGTATTATTGGACATTGCCATTGTGTGTGTGGTCTTACTAGCTGTTAACCCTAGGACACTTTCTGATGAGCTACTGACACTCTATGATTGATAATGTATTTATCCTAATACCAGTTATTAAGTAGTTTGAGTATTTATTACCTCTGATCATTCAAACTAAATATTTCAGACTTGATGCCTGACGTGGAAAATTTCAGCTGACCTTTTCCCTAAGGAAAACGGCTTTATAGGATTTTTCAGGGAGGGCTTCAAGAAGCCTAGTCTATTACATATGACCAAAAATTTTGATGATGCCTTTCACCCTGGTACCTCAACACAGTTTATCAATATATCATCTTGTAAACATTACCACATTAAGATGTCTCTCATGTTTTTTGTACTTCATTAACTTTCCATCACTAACAGACTAATGCCCAGAAAAATTATAAAAATTGTACAACACAGCATCACAGTAGTGAGCACAAATCAGGAAAAGAAACACTAGGTCAGAAACCTCTGTATGTGTAGCTTAAAGATGTGGCAAAGAACATCACCAGAAACTTCATTCTGGAAGGAAGAGTATACAGGACTCTCAATTAAACTAAAAGAAAAATATCAGACTTGTACAAAATATAAAAAAGAATAGTAAGAGCTATTAATTTTAAGAGCTTGTGGAATTCTTGGTACCATGCATGGATATTTTGTTTTCTTACTTGCAACAATCCTATCATTAGTTCAGTTTAAAGATAGAAAAACTGAGGCTTAGGGACTTTATGTGTCCAAGAGTAAAAGCTATTAAGTAATACTAAGTACTGTATTGAGACAATGTTTAAACTTAAGGATCCTGAGGAATAGAGAGTATTAGAAATCTACCCTATATTTCCTACGTATAGGGCAAGACTTCTCTTCCAGAAAGGAAGTGAAATTGTGACCTGGGTTTGTTTTGTTGTTTTTTTGTTTTTTGTTTTTGCCTGAGATTCCTCATTTTATTTCGTTTTGTTTCTAATATGGAACACTTCATAAATTTGTATGTCATCCTTGCCCAGGGACCATGTTAGTCTTCTCTGTATCATTCCGATTTTAGTATATGTGCTGCCGAAGTAAGTACATGAGATGCCATAATCTTGATCTCAGAAAATCTCCTAAATTCAGCAGGATCTATAGCCATGGGCATCTGATCTATACCTGTGACACACTCTCAGAAGGGGCCCTGTTTGGCTTAGAGTTCTGCTGAAATACTTAATGTATTTTGGATGAAGGACCCCGTATTTTCATTTTGCATCAGGCATATCAAATTGTATTATTATCCTGGTTCACAGGGTTGATAGGCTTCCCCCTTTAGAATCAGAGAAAAGCTGAAATTACAGGAGGCCCTGAAAAAAAGGAGAAGAGCATTATTTCTGATAAAGATTGCTTGTGGATATTGAAACCAAGCTGCAGAGAGAATAATTCAATTGCTTAACGTTCAAGATCATCTATGACACATTTAAGAATCAAATTGTCATCATTTGATTTGAAATTCCCATTAGAAAGAAGCATATGAAAACAATTCTACCCATATCTATAAACTCTATCAGATTATCTTCTACACTGTGATGCTATATAATGGTCAAAGCAAAGCGATAAGAACTTAGATTTTAAGACTCTAAAGCAAATGTGATATAGGTTTGATCCTACAGTACAATGAGAGCAAACTACAGTGGTTCCCCAGCTCTGTGCCCCCTACCAGCATACTTCCTATCACACAAGGATTCTTTGAATATGATGTACACCTAAGGCAAGAGAGAATCGAATCCACCAGCAAGGTTTGTCCTGATGTTTTGTCCTTATCACAAGCTTATAGCACCTTGCTTTTCATCTCAAAGAGCAGAGCTCTACAATCAGCATTTAACAAATGGGGAAGGCTTTTTCAGGAGTTCAGAGGGTTGTCCACAAAGATAGAAGTATTTAAGAGATCACTATGGACTTCATATGTGTGTGTAAATACGTATATATGTGAATACATATGTAGATAATCTTTAATATTAACCTATGTAATTATTGGTGGACAAATTTGTAACTTGAATTTCCTTCAGTATGTTAATTTGATACATAAACATGTGCTCATACCCATGCATTCACACACCCTTCCTTAGTTTAAGAAGAATTTGAGTATACTTATAACTGTTCTAAAAACATGAGCTTAAAGAAGCAAATGGATGTTATTCTTCAGAAAAAAAGGTAAAAGCAAAACAAATAGTGAATAAATTAGGGTCACACTTGCAGAAAGTTGGTAGGAAGATCAAAATAAAAGTAATTTTACAAACAACATGCTGTAAATTCCAGTACATTTATTAGCATTGAAACATGAGTTTGGCACTCTCTCCTTTCTAAAAGCAGCCACAGTTAGGAAAATATTATTAGTTACAAGCTGCCCTGTGACCGTAGGCAACAAATAAATCATTTAGCAGAAACACAGCATTGCCAGGAATGAAGAGGAATGAAAAGGATTATGCAACTCCAGGGAACATCCTAGCCTGTCCTTTACAGTAGGGTCAACAGTAAATCCCTTCCTTGTCTTGATGTCATCCCACCCAAGGACAATTTTTTTTCAAATCAAATTGGCAGCATTGGGTCCAAGTAAGCAATTATCTGCCTCTCTGTCATAATAAAAGAATACATGTCAAATGAATCCCCAAAAGGACAGGAAAGATCTCTTGGTCTAGGAAAGTCCACTAGACTTAGTTCCACTTGACTGAATTCATTGCCACTTTTTAAGCCAATTTACTTAGCTCTTCTAACCTTAAGATCCAGAGTGGCTCTTTCTCTTCAGATCCAATCAGCTAAATTAAAGATTAGAGTCACCTTCTCTTGGGAAAATTAAGACAAATAACTAAAATGTATAGCAGATCATTCTGCTTCTGTATATTTTGCTATGATATGGGCAACCATTTTTTCCAGGGCATACAGCAACTTCCTTTATGGAGCACATTTAATGAGTTTGCTATCAGATCCCCACTGTTGCCATAAACTCTTCTCAGTGCTATGTCTCTCAACATTAACTTTAAGTAACAGATGTTCCTAGCAAACTCTTGGAAATAAATTAGCTGCAGAACCTGGTCCTGGTAATTAAAGAAGTTTAATTGTTACATGAGTTGTTGGCTATGACTTTGGTTGTCTAATGATTGACCCTATTTTTTTCTCCTGAACCCTTTAATGCAAGAGAAGTTTTCTGGGTTGTATTATTCAAAAGGTACAAAGGTTAATTCCTGACTCAGAAGAGGTGGAACCAAAGGGTTTCCAGGGTGGCTAATGAAGTTGAACCTTTGAGACCCTCAATTTCCAAGGGATTGGGCCTAATTTTTTATTTGTTTTCTTACACACTTCAACTCTAAAAAACTCCATTGCTTCTAAGAATTTCTGACAGTAAATCATGAGCTCTCGCTTGTTGTCCCTGACTTGCAATGTTTTTACTTCTTTTTTTCTTCTAGATAAACACATTTTGGTTAAGTACAAAGGCTTTGGAGTTAGAATTCTCATGTTTCAGACTTCTGAATATAAACTTGGGAAAGTTACTAAACATTTCTGGGACTCTGCTTACCATCTGTAAAAGAAATGAAATAAAAGTGAAAAAACATTATTATTAATGTGAATAATCTCACAATCCCCATCATGTTCCTGTAAGCACCCAATGAAATACTATATAAAAGTGGCAGGGCAAGTTCAAAGCTCAAGGCTTTATCTTCCTCAGATCCTTCCCCTGATTATTCAGAGATGAAGTTGAGAAATGACTTTGCCAACTGAACCCATGCCAGAGGTTTCTTCTCACTGAGGTGGCCTGAGATCCCAGCTGTACCACCTCGCTCCATAGGGAACAGAAGTGTCCACCAACCAGTTGACTTTATTTCTTATTCTTCACTCCTCGCAGAAAATTTTACCATTAATTGCCATGACTCCTGCCAAAAAGAATGCCTGGAGATGTGGGTGCAGTAGAGAGTACATCATCTTGAAACTAAACAGATAAAATTTCAGAGCAACACTTAGACTTGAATTCATGGGTTTGAGCATCATTTTTGTAATCTTCTAATCAATAAAAGGATAAATAGGCTTCAAAAAATTGTAATGTATGAAAATTGTATCTCAATAAAGGTTTTCTAAACAAAGATTAAATTAAATATCATAAATCTTCTTATCACTCCTGGCTCCATAAAATGTAATGGTTTAAAGCCGACCCTGGCCCCAGGGCTGCTGTATAGAGTTAATTATAAAGTCTCAATGTTCTTCTCAACGTTTTACTCAAGTATATGCGTACACCCATTGTTTTATTGTGGATAGAAAGATGGATGAAGCTATATGTACAGGATGACTTTAATTTTAATGTTTAATATATAATCAATTTAAATAATTAAATTAAATTTAAATGATTAAATTTAAAAAATTAAATCAATTATATATTGTACTCTTCTTTTAGCTGTTAAATCCTAATAGACCAGCAAATTAAGCACAAAAGAAACATCCAGAACAAAATCAGAATTGTCCATATTGTGTCTATTTCATAAAAATCAACTTAAAAACTGAACCCTATCACTTAACAGCCCAAAGTGGCTGGGTACCTTGTACCTTTCCAAGAAGGAACTCTTTCTATTCATTCCCTGTTTACTTAAAACAGTCAGAATATTCAAAATCAGGAGTTGCTTTTCTCTCTGCTGGGACCCCCCTGCTGCCCTGCAGGAGCTGGTGGGCTCCTTAGGTTCTGCTGGTGAAACTGGAAGGAGGCTCAGAGTTGTACCCACAGCACCACCTGGTGCCAGGTCCGGGTCTTCCTGGACAGCCATGCTGGAGCTTTTCCTGCTTTGCTACCTCAGACCATTCATTCTAACCACGTTAGTGTAAAATGGTGGTTCTCAGTTGTTCCTCTGCAATAAAACCAACTTTGGATCTTTTAAAAAAATTACAGATACTCAGAAATCATCCCAAATGTCTAGGGTGGAGCCAAGCATTATTTTTATAAAATTTTCACAGTAGATTTTGACATACAAAATGATTGAGTTACTAAACCATAATTATGAAGTGATAAAAATATGTGTATTTTGTTTTGTTTTGTAACAAGCATGTTACTGGACATGATAAAATGCATGGCAGCTCAAGATGCCTATCTTTGCAAGGCAATTCTGCCACTAGCAAAAACACTTGTATGGACATTATGGGGGACTAGGATTTGAGTATAACAAAGGAACACTGAATCTCTCTCTTCCCTGTGGCATGGTTCTTCCTGGTATAGCCTAAAGATCATGGCTAGGACTAGATCAGCTCAAAGCTTTAAGGACAAATTCATTCCCTCTCTCTCTCTCTCTCTCTCTGCTTGGTTGGTATTCATGTCTCCTTACCTTTCCTTTGTTTTAGAATTGTAAAATCTACATGAAAATAATTGTGAAAACTTAGGTACCTAAATCCTGCTTTTAATATAATCTTTTGTTTTGTCTATAGCTTAGGCAAAATATTCTCTTGTGCTCCAGGTAGAATTTTCCGTTTGACCAGAAAAAAAAAAAAAAAAAAAAAAAAAAAAAAAGAGTGCACTGGGGACAGAGCCTGTGTTCAACTATTCATAAGAACATGTTTTTGCCTAGCATTATTCACTTCACAAACCTAGGGCACTAATATACAATCAGATCCTGTGTCCTAGCCACATTCCACCTTGGTCCGAACAACCAGCAGTCTCTAAATGCAGTGTAGTCATTCCAGATATGGCGCCATTAACCTGTTTTAGAACTGATTAGGATGGCTGGACTGACTAGATGGCATATGACAGGGAAACAATGATCTCTGAAAGTGGGACGGAGGAAACTCTATACTCTCGAGGCACAGTTGCATCAAACAAGCACATCTATAACCTGAAGGACTATTTGCCTTTGCATATGTAGATTCAATATGCTGATCTGTTAAACTGGCTCAGGTGTGTGATTTCAAAGAAGTCAGTTGACAGATGGTCAGATAGATAAATAAGCAACACAGCATTCAGAAATAAAGAACAATTTTCCAAAGATGCCTGAGTTATATTCGGACCCCAATACTTGGTATAACTCATAAAATAAATTCTGAATAATACAGGTGGGTGAAATTACTAAAATG